AGCATCCCAAGCTGTATGCACATGGTATGATGGTCTTCCTCTTCTCTTCAGTGTCCAGCTGGACCTATTTTTGTTCATTTCCTACTATGGTTTTGCAGCTTGGTCTTCCTTGGTTGGTCTGTGACTGTGTGAAGTGCTAATGCCTGGAGCCTCAGCACTGAGAAGACTTGAAGGATGAGTCCTTTGGCACTGGGGGAATGTCTGGAGTGCTCTGGTATATTGAGGTGAATGTGCTATCTGTAAGTCCTCATTCAAGCAAGCAATGACTCCAGAAATCAGGCTGATAGTGGCTCAGGAAGGCTCCTGCCAGGTCTTCTACAGAGCCTTGGGCTTAGGGTCAGACAAAGCACTCAGTAGAGGGTGTTCTGGCACAGACAGCTGAGGACAGCAACTGGTTAAAAATTTGCTAAGCAACGGAAACTCTCATTTGATTTACTTAAAAAAGGATTATTTTCCTTCTTGCTTTTGATTTTTTTTTAGCGGATAGCCAAGTCTCAATATCTCATGAACTACTTTGTAAATCAGGGAGCTGGAAGAGAGGACAAGAGCCTGTGGGCAGCTCTCCTGGTGAATGGGCAACTTCTGCGAGGGAGCTTTGTGTTGGTGTCTGTGCAATAAATGCAAAATGCATTTCCTTTGCTCCCCATGGCTGCCATCCCTGTTGGAGGAATCCATGTCCAGAGTATCACGGGAGCAACTGTACTGTGTCTGTACTGCTTGTCACCATGGGTGGAAGTGGTTTTGTGCTAGAGCACGGACAGTAATTGGGCCAGTGCCAGTGGGTCCCTATTGCAGATTTTTGACCAATCTGCAGTCGTGTGAACACAGCTGAGAGCAGCAGTCCTTGCATTTCTGTGTCAGTGCTCGAGTGACATCATCCCAGCTCCTAGTCTGCTACTTGTATGCTCTCAGTTGCTTGCTGGAAGGATTCTGTTTACATCCAGCCTATAGAGAAACTGCTCTACAGAGTACCTGCTCAGGTGAGCAGAAAATCATCTCTACCTCTGCCTTAAAGTGAAGCACTCCTTGGGTAAATGTAAAATGCTTCCTTGAAACAAGCGTTAGTTACTGGAATATGAAAAAGGAAAGTCCTTTAGTTTAAAGCACATAGAAACTCTGGCCAAGGTCTCCTTCCTAAAATACTCAGAAGGGAAGAGGAGTCAGTCACTTCAAGCTCTATTTAGGCTTTCTAAAACAGAGCCTACCTGGAAGTATTTCAAAGTGATAGATACAGAATGAATGACAAGGGCTTGCTATAGACAGGAAGTTTTCAGGTTTTATTTGTGTTCCTGTTATGTGAGTGCTCATTGCTGTACTTTGAGAGACAAAAAAAATACACCAGAATGAATTTCACCAATGTCCACAAAGTTTTAAAATCTGGGTATATCTGAGGCACTCCCTTGCTAGTGCTGCAGGCAGATGTTTCCACCTGTGCCTTGCAGGAGAGGATGGCTGATAACCCAGGGATGTCCCTAGGTAACAGTGCTTAGGGAGGTGGTGTTTTCCTGATAGTGGTCCAGATTTCTGCATGATGAATAAAAGCCAACCTCCCCCTTTACTTTCCTGTATTTGCCCACAGAAATGCCAGAAATGTGTAGTTCAAGCCAGATACAATGCAGGGGTGGTCTGGCTCCGATTCAGACCAGTACCCATCTTTAGTTGGAAGCAGACCTGATCTTGTGTCAGGGCGCAGAGCCATACCAATCCCTCTGGCCTTGCTCCTGGGAGACTTCCATCCTATACTGATATCAGCTAGCTAGTGATATGACTGCCTAAGTGAAGATGCTATATCTGCATTTATTAAAAATAACGAATTTCTTTTTCTGACCAAGCCTTCTGGCTACATCCAGAATCACTGTTAGTGTCTTACTGCTTTGCTCTGATGTTTCAAAGTCTCACAGATGCTTATTAAGAGCAATAGTATAGAGTTATGAGGCAGAAAGAAATCAGGAAGAGGATCAGTGAATAGTATTAGGTCATGATTCTAGTAGTCAGTAGACAGAGTTTATATAGTATACAGCAGTGATAAAAGGATGGAACATGATTTAATGGTTGGCAGACAACAATGATGGATTGGTGGTAACCAGTGGGGACATATCTGTCTGCTAACCTAGCTCAGGAGAGGGTGTATACAGGCTTCTTCTGGGACAGAGGCATACCCTGATGGACCCTTTGCTGTATCTGTGCATGCCTAGCTTGTGTCTGCCCATCATCTGAGTGACACTTGCGGCCCCTTCTCATGGGGGACTCTCCCCTCCTTAGCGGCGACTGCTGGGATGGTCGCATAAGTCACGTACCTGTTGGGTGAATTTTTGTGGGAAAGGAGGTGGATTTAGGCATAGCACCAGCATCATGAAGTGGTACATACCTTCAGCTATGCAAGCAAGCACTTGAGGACTGTGGTGAATCATACCATGAGAGAGTCCCACAATGTGCCGCCGGAGTTTCTCCCTGCACTGGGAAGTGGGAGGTGGCTGGGCTCTGGTTGCAAATACCTTCTGGGGCTGCAGTCAGGTTCGGCACAACATAGTGTCTCCTTTTCCTGAGGTACTTTTGCTCCTCTGATAGCAGCTCCTATCCAGGATGCTGGCTTAGGTACCCACACTGCTACAACTGTGCATTTCACCATCACCATCACCATTTCACCATCACCATCACAGTGCTCAGGCAGCTTCTTGCCTCTAAAGGAAATACTCTGAAAAATATTCAGCTGCTCAGATAGAGAATGACCACCAGCACTTGTTACATCTCAAAGATTTCTCTCTTAGGTTGATAAATTTGGATGATGATCTTTGGAGAAAGAGAATTCCTGCCTGCTGTGGCAAATACCCTAATTCTTTAGTGGTTATGATGCTTCTGTTCCTCTGAGGTCTTAGTTTTCAGCTGTGAGAGGAAGCATCTGATTTTTGAACTGGGGATTTGGGAATCTCTGCTCATCTGCCAAGGCACGGACATGGTCCCTCTTTTCCTCATTCTTGTATGTTTGAGCCATACAAATAAAAATGCTTGCAACCACTTATCCCTATGATTTCATATGGATCTGTCAATACTGGTTTCCAGCCAAGACAGATCTTTCTTTCAAGTTTCAAAGAAAACTGAATAGTTACATTTGCCCTCTGCTTTCATATGCCATGCTCTTTCAAGTAAACAACAGTGCAGCATCAAGGGTGCAGTTTTGTCTTCCCAGATTACTTCTGTCTCTGGTCTCTCACCATATGGGCAGCCTGATCTGTCACCCCCAGGCCAAGCTCTTTCTGCGTGACTGGGATCCAACCGATGTCAGGAGGAATCCTGAAGCCAGCTATTTTCAAGGTGCTTTTTGATGTAAGGAGGTTAGAGTCAGATGGGGGTTTGTCTCTTCTTCCGAGTAACAAGTGATAGGACAAGAGGAATTGGCCTCAAGGGGAGGTTTAGTTTGGATATTAGGAAAAATTCCTTCACCAAAAGGGTGGTCAAGCACTGGCACAGGCTGCCCAGGGCACTGAGACAGTCACCATTCCTGGAGATACTTAAAAGATGTAGATGGGACACATGGTTGAGTGGCAACTTTGGCAGTGCCTGACTTCTACTAGTGACAGTTTGCTTAGATAGAAGATTCCATTTTTGACATCTTGGAGACATCTGCCGTGGCCTCTGGTCACTCTCCAGCCTTTGATGTCTGCACAAGTGCTAAGAGCAGTGATTTTCCACATGCCCACTGTAGCCTATCTAATATTTTAATGCATAAATGCAAATAAAATATTAATAAAATAAATATAAATATTTAAATTAAAAAAGAGCTTAAGAACCTTGCACAGCTTTTCAGTGCCTGGTAGAGATCGATGTAGTCTGAGGGATCCCCATCTGGATCTGGGTGACTGGAGAAGCCTTTACCCCAGGGGCAGTGGGCCCACAGCTGTGGCTGGCAGGAGGGGAAGAATGAGGGCAGGCAGGGAATGTTGCTCAGGCCAGGATAGGCTCCTCCCACGATGACAAAGGCCCCTGTGTGCCCCAAGTCTCAGGCAGTTTGCACCTACCTGCAAACTGATGTGTTTCAGTTCAGGATTTTGGTATTTAAAACAGTACCTTCACCCAGGCATTCCTCACAAAAAGTTCAATGAGTTGTAAACAAGAAAAAATAAACTATTTTTTGTAATGGCTTTTGGAACCAGGAACTAATGGGAAGCTCTTTGCTGGTATAGGCTGGGGATTGAAATACTGCTGTGCACGCAAAGACAGCATTGCTGCAGCACGTGAGGAGCAGGTGAGGCAGGGCTGCACCTCCAGAGACACCAGTGCTGGACAGCTCCTGATCCTAGGGGAGCTGGCATCTGTGTTTGAGGGAATCTTTACTGCGAAGTTAGAGGAAGGCTGGGGAAACTCAGTGAGACAACATGATATGGTGTCCGGTATAGGAATGAATTTCTTCTGAAAAATACAGTATTTGCACAGGTGCTACCTTAATCTCAGTCACCATGTGAAAGTAGGAAATTAATTCGGGTTTCAAAGCCTGTCTCAGTATATTTAACTCCTTCTGTACCTGAGCACTTGCTATTTCACCTTCTGGGGAAACATAACCAGATGCGTAGCTGATTTTCTGAAACATGACAGAACTGAAAAAAATGCTGGGAACTGTCCTACTTTCTCCTAGCCACTGGATGTTTGCAGAGTTTTGTTTCAACAGCTTATTGGTTTAGTCTCCTTAAAAAGTGTGTGCACATACATACTTGGCAGAAAAATAAGTTATTAACTATCTTGCATGTACTTCTGGTGTTTGAGAGCGGATATGAAGGAAAAGGACTGTGGTGAAATTTTCTGTTTTCCCCCATTGCACTTAGTAATTTTCCTCTGACTTTTCTGCTTGAGAAGACTGTTGAAAATTGCTGCTTCCCACCTTTCTGTCAGACTCTTAATTAGCAGGAGCACGCAGCCCGCACAGCTGGGGCTTTGATGCCTTGCTCACTATCGCTTCCCACTCAGATTTCTGTTCATTCAGAGTTGGTACCCAGCCCAAAGCCCTGGCTTCCCCTCCGAGCCCCTCAGCATGCCTACAGGACTCCAGTTTAGTATTCACTGGAAGAGCTGCACTGATGCTTTCTCGCTAGACCTACAGGCTGCTGGTTGGAGCCATAAGGGAACAGGAGGAAGAATTACCCTGTGTGTTTATGTGGCTGTGCTCCAGTAAATATTTTGATGCATCTACTGCCAGCTCTGGTCTGAGGGAATCTACCTAGCATTTAAATTTTGATGGGGAGCTGTTTTGAATAATAACAGTGCAGCCGGCTGTGAGTCAGTGCATGTGTGTTGACTGAAAAAAAAACCTCAAAGCTTAACGCTTGCTGAACGCTGAGCTGCAGTGCTTTGCTTTTTCCCTCCTCCTTCCTTCTTTTCTTTCTTCTCTTGACTTCCTCTCTTTTGCTTTGTTTTTGGGGGCATTTCACATAGATTTTATTCACTGTCAGTGGAGGGGTAGGGTAAGAATATTTAAAAAAAAAATCCCAGCCAAAATAAATCCTCCTCAAAAACTCACGAGTAGCTTTTGCAATGGGTGCTGTAATGGGTACATTCTCTTCTCTACAAACAAAACAAAGAAGACCATCAAAAGGTAAGACCTCCTATTATGCTTTTTCTGTCCCTTTCGTATATTTGCTGTGGGAGAAATTTGTATTAGGAAGGGAGAATATGAACATGTGCCACTTGCAAGGAACCTGGCAACGTTTTTCTGAGCTGTAATTTGCAGAGGAGAGTGGGATGCAATGTGGTGGGAAAAACCTGTGGGCATGACAAAATTGCTGTGGAGGAGCTTGGGGGTTGAAAAACATCTGAAATACTGTAATCCTTCATGCAGGCATGTATGAGGAGGAGAAACTCAGTGGCTCCATATGCAGAGCACTTGCAGAAGAGACCTGTTTATTTCCAAATCCCATGCTTTATAAACCCTTTGAATAGGAAATAAAATGTAGATACACAGCAAATTCTTCCCAATGCCTTGGGGTTTCTGTCTCAAGAAGTATTGTTAGAGTCAGTGTTGCATATTCAGTAATCCAACACCAAGTGTGCAGTACTAATGATGTGTGTTTTATAAAGATTATCGAGAGGGGAAAAAATTAGGATGTTTTTGTAAAGAAGGAGAGGAGCAGAAGCTCATAAAAAATGAGAGAGTAAGCAGCAATCCCAGGAATTTCAATCCTTAAATCCATAAATATTGTCTGTAAATACTGATTTTTCAGGAGGTCTGGTTTTTGTAGTATTTGCTTGAGCTTTGCTCAGTTTTTTTCAGGGTTAATTCAAGAATTCTAGGGTGTTGCTGAGCAGAAAGTTGAAAGCACTGTCAGGGGCACATCTATACTGTACAGAATGAGTATTGTTTGGAAAACAAAAGGAACGACTCTGTAACTTCAGCAAGTCTTTCTGCTATTTGTAAATATTCCCTGCCAGAACCTCTGCATTTAACAGTCTCTCAATATTCCCAGGATAGATCTCCTTTTCCACTGGATCTGTAGCTCAGTTATATATACTTTTGAACTGCAAGTTGGTATGTATTTTCTTTCAATTTAAATTAAAAACTAACTTAGGAAATATCAAACACCAAGTAATCACTCAAAAGAGAAATGGGCACAAGCTGTGCCGGGGATTTAATTGTGGTAAGTTCGTGAACAAGTGTAAAATTCTGCATTCCTGGTAACAGTAAGGTAATGTTTTACCTTAGAGTGTGTGTACATGGTTTACAGTTCACCTTCCTGTGTTATTATAATGCACCCATGATTGTACAGTTGTCTGGGACATGTACGGTATTACTTTTAATGCCGGGATAGCTGTATTACTGTCTAAGCACTGAGTTACACCTGCAGCTGGGAGACTCGTGTTTAGGCACTGAAGTACAGAAGACTGAGCAGGATGTACTGGGCATGATGGCTGCTGTGTCACCAAGGGGAGTCTTGTCCACCTGAAAGAAACCTGAGAGCTGAAGCTGATTTCCGCTAAACATAGATAGTTTGTGGTTGAACATAACTTTTCTCTGTGACTTTGTTGTCTTGTGATTGGCTCAATTATCTAGTGGATACAAGCCACTGCTTTTTGTTGGAGGTCACGAGCAGTAAAAATCCACCATCTGGTCACACATTTTTACCTTTAAAATGGAATTCAATCTTCCTGATGCGTGCTGGCAGTGGTTATTCAGCTATATTTATCAATACTTGTGTTTCCAGAGTTATCTCCTCTTGGCTCTGATGTGTTATCCACATGATGTTGCTGGTTAGTAGAGCACCCAGTTGGAAAAAGCAATTTGGAGGAAATTCCTTTGATTTTCTTAGCTATTTTCAAAGCCAGTACAGAATTTTATACCTTTATAGGTTTACCTGTCAGAAAAGAGCATTACAGAACAACGCTGCTGGTTTTGGCTGTCTTCAGCCAGTTGCAGATGTTTCTCTAGATTGATGCCCAAATGATCCCTCAGATCTCCAGACAGGAGTGGCAGAGGCAGGTTTGCTGGTGTATTTTACACTGACTGTTAGCACTTCACCCTGCCGGCCACAAAACACTAATGTGTGCTGGGCTTGAATACAATCTGAAATTGTTATTTGTCTGTGAGCTAAATAGTTGGTAGAAGTCAATCACCGCTACATGATGGAGTCCTTAGTATTGTCCACATGTTCTCTCAGCATCTCTTCCAGCCCTCAGTCATCCTGGTGGCCTCTGCTGGACCATATTCTAGCATATGCACATCTGTCTTGTTCTGGTGAGCCCCAAACTGGCCCCAGCACCCTGGATGTGTTTGCCCAAGTGCTGAGCAGAGGGGAAGGATCACTTGTCCCACTGCTGGCTGCACAGCTGTTGGGGCTTCTCTGCCAGATGGCAGGTGGTTGGTGATGCCTGGGTGTTACTGCTCTATTGGATATTGCTATATCTGTCTTTGATTGAGAAAAGTTTTTATTTTATTATTAGATTATCACATATTATTATCTTATTTATTTTTTATTATATTTATCTATGTGCTTATTTGACTATTTCAGAACTTTATGAAGGAGTTAAATATCGCTGGTAAAACAAGAACTCGGAGAAATACTTGTAACAGTTGTATCCACACCTCTGCAAATGCTCTCTTGTCCTGGTAAATATGCGCTCTTCTGAGCCTTTTTTAGCTAAACACCTCCACCTGAAGCTCTGTATCTCTTGTGTAATAAAGTAAAATCAAAAAAACAGGCATTGTTTCAAGAAAAGATAAAATAAACAGGTCATGCCTAAAGTGAGGAGTTCCAGAGATCAGTTAATACCAGTAAGCACATGGTGGGTCAGGGCAGAGTGGGCTCAAGTGGCCCGTGCTGAACTCTTCCAGCTTCAGCACACGTCACTGCTCCTCTGCCTGTGCTGTTCCCCCTCATGTCCTGGTTGTGGGTGTGTCCAGAGTGGGACTGGAGGCTGGTTTGGTTATTCCAGCTATGAGCAGCAATGCTGGAGAGGTCATAGTGTAGCACTGTTCAAGAGTACAAGATTTAATTCCTCGTTCTAGTGAAAATGGGGAGCCTGAATCATTAAGGCAGGAGTGACACAGAAATTGTCTTCAAGCGGAGAGCAGTGGTCCATCAAGCGTGAGCTCTTGTCTCTGAGAGAGAGACCGTGGGTCTGTAGAGGAGGAGACCATTTGCTTGGCTCGAATGTGGAAACTTAATCCAATGTAATTGCATTTTGTCCTGGTGGGTTGGGACACCCTGTCCTGATGGATAAAGATGGATAAAGATTTCTGCTTCTTAGACTTGCAATCCTATCAGTAAAGCTGCAGAAGCTTTCCCTGTTTGCTGTAGTGTCCCTGGATGGTCTGTGAGATTTGTGCTGTTTGCTTTGGGAGTGGCTTGGGGCAGTTCCACCAATTATTTGTATATTTCATTAGAAATCATTTCCCGTGATCTCCTTGACTGATGATGTTTTAACTTCATTCATTGTTGGGATTCTCGTCTGCCGTTTCCAGCATTCTTAGTTGGCCCACTAAAAGATAATACCTCTTTCCACCCTGTTCACTTTGCTTGTATCTCAGGCCAGCTTTCCTGGGATGCTGGTGGAACCTGGCCGAGGTCCTGGAGACAAGCTGACAGTGAGCCAGCAGCAAAGGTGGCTAGTGGCCTCGTGGGCTGTTCTTGGCAGAGCACCTCCAGCAGATCAAGGGAAGTGATACTCCTCCTCTGCACAGCACTGGTGAGACACAGTGCTGTGTCTGGTGCTGGGCTCCCCTGTATGGAAGACGTGAGGACTTACTGGCCTTAGTACACTGAAGAGTCACGAGGAATATTAGTCAATTGGAGCATCTTACAAACAGGGAGAGACTGAGAGAACTGTGATTGTTCACCCTGCAGCAGAGGAGGCTCAGGGAGGTCTTAATCATGGTGTATAAATGCCTGATGTGGAGAGCAGAGGTGTTGGAGCCAGGCTCTTCTCTGGTGCCCAGGGACAGGTGAAGGGGCAACAGGCACAAACTGAAATACAAGAAATTCCACCTTAATATAAGAAAAAGAAATTACTGTGAAAGTGACTGAACACTCCCCAGAGAGACTGTGGAGTCTTCAAGCTTGGACATACTCAAAACCCAACTGGATACAGTCATGAGCAACTTGTTGTAGTTAACCCTGCCTTGAGGAGGGAACTGGAGGTCCCTTCCAACCTTATCCACACTCTGACTCTGGGGTTACTGTCACTTTAAAAACCCTAAAGATACAAGGATTTGGGTTACTAGGAAGAGACATTCAGAGGTCAATATGACGCAAATGCCAACAAAACTGAGGAGTGCTTAGACAGATGTAGTAGTTAGTGCTTAGACAGATGATTGAGATGGACTTGAGAATTTCAAGCTGCTGGTATATCCTCCTGCAAACATAAGCAATAAAGCAATAAATGAGGAGAAAAAAAAAAACCAGAAAAAAACACAGAACTAAAAGATAGAGGGCCAGCACAGCAGATAATACACACAGAAATGCACCTCTGGTTTCAACTAGATGCAGAAATAGAGATTTTTTTGTGTTTTTACAGTCTGCATCCAATCATGACCAAATTTGTGGCTAGAATCAGCCATTTCCATATTCGTCATGGAAACGTTCCATTTAGCAGATTGCTAAAGCAGGGGGACTTTCTTGTTTTGACTGCTCTCTGTACCTCTGGGTTCTTTTGTTTGTTCTTTCATTTGTTCTTTTGTTTGTTCTTTCTGTTCTCTAAGTCCACACAGCCCCTCCAGTGAAAGTGAAATATGACTTGACTGTTTTTCAATACCTGAATCTTGTTTGGGCTTAGAGCTACAGGCTGCAGCTCTGACCCCCAGATCAGCAGCAAGCAGCACCACTTTCAGTTGATAATCTGACTCTGTTAAATGTGAGTAACCATGTTTTGATCCAAGACCACCCAAACCTAAAGTAGCAAGAGGAGTCTGGTGCAGTTTAATTTTGCTAGAGCTAACAGCAAAAATTTTGCTTAAAATGTCAGTTGTGCCATTTTTATAGTGAGCAATTTCTAGGCTTTGTTTTGAAATGGCTTATTGTCCAAAATTATCAGATTTTGTGCCTGACCAGCTGTATTTTCAACTGTTTTACTTACTAGGAAACCAAGTCTGCTTGACTCGGCAGT